GAGTGGCTGGAAATAAGGTACCTAATAGATCGATCAGTCCAGTCGTTCCAAACCCTTCTCAACCTTTACTATCCCGTTTCCCTCTGGCTATGAATCTGCCCACATGCCTGATACCAGTTCTGAAAGATTAGATCAAGTGCCAGTTGTGATGCATCTCCACAAAGGTGGATTTTTGCTAATTTAGTCAGTTGAATTTAGTCTGAAGAACTGATAAAAGTAATATTTGCCTGATCTTTAAACCAGCTGATAAATAAATTAAGTGTAATCCTTGAAGTATTCACATGTGGTATTACAGAAGAGTCAATTAACAGAGTGCAGGCATAGGTCTGGGTGGGTCCGTGGACACAATCTTGGCACACTGTTCTGTGTCCGAAGGGGGAGCAAAACTCAGGGATGAAATGGACATCAACAAGAGGACTGGTGGTCTTCATTGCAAGTGTCATTAATTCCTCAGCAAGTAGGGTTTTATTCTGAAGGAAATAAATATTGGGACTTCTGTTAGCTTTATTTTTTCCTCGCCTCCTTACTCTTCTTTCTCGTGCTTCCTCCCCTGCCTTGCCCTTTCTTACAGACGCTGGTATGGGATCCAGAGCTAGTGCCAGAAATGCTTCCCATTGCTTGCTTCTCAGGATCTAATTTTGACCTCTGACAAGCCTAGCTCTCAATATCGCACACTGACATGCTGCCCAAGATCTGCTGTAATTAGAAGATGATATAAATTGCAGCCTTTGATATCATTTTAAAGCAAAAGTTTCTTGCCCATCTGGGAAGCAGTGGTGATCCCTGTGTGTATCACAGCAGAGTAATGCCGCTGTAGTACACAGCCTGTCTGATTAGTGCCTCATCTTTTCTGTGTTCAACCCCGAATCGGATGTAGCTGTGAACAGAACGTGCTTTTGATATTGCCAAATGCTATTGAGGGGCATTGAACCTCATATGAGCCTCATATGTTATGGTGTAAAAAACAATAGTTGTGCAGATTGTTTTTTAATATAAATCAATAGTAAACCAAGCCTTGGAGAGACCCTACTCCACCTGCCCAGTTCAGGTAATAGCCTAAAATAACAAAAATTCTATTGGTAATAAAACTAAAAATGTATTTGTATTAAAAAAAAAAAAAAGGCAAGAAATTAATCTGATATTCTACCTCCTGTTTTAAACTCCTGTTAGAGGTCAAATAGTATCTAATCTCAGGTTCCCTCCTCCGATGACAGCTAAGAGTTAACTGGCATTCAGCTGTGACAGCTTAAAAGTTCCTTTATAATTGCGAAGTGTATGTAAGTTTACAGCTAAAATTTAATGCAAACTTTTAGTTTATCTTTGTTCCTTCCTTTTTCTAGTCTGAAAAATATCCTGTGATTAGATTTGGTTTTACAACACTGCTATTAGTGCAAACTGTAGTGGTTGTGTATTCCAATACCTAGCCGTATGTTAAAAGAACAAACACAAACCACAGTGAAACCTCTGTTGTGTTGTAAACAGAATCAATTTCAGACTGTAAGAACGGAAAAAACCTCAAATTGATTAAAAAAAAAATTATAATGGCAGGGAATATTAAGCAATGTAAAAAACTAAATAATGAAAGTAAAATTCCATACCTATAATGCTTATTTTAAAATGCCTGCATGGATGTTAAGTCAGATCTGCATGCTCAGCTCAAAAAGCCTTCCAGCTGAGTACAGAAAAAGCCTTACTGGTTGTGAATACTAACGTTGTTTAAAGAAACTTGCTAAATGTTGGAAAACTGTTTCATGGTTGCCTAAGAAGCTGCAGAATAACAGAAAAATAACTAATTGTTTACCTTTAAATTAATTGCTGTAAAGCAAAGTTAAATGTATTACTAATATAGAAAACAAATCATATTATTTTAGAAACAGTGTAAATAAACCTTAGCATTAAAAAAAAAAAAAAGCTCATATTTGCATACATTGCTTAGGTATGTGGAATATAATAAGCAATTTTCAGGTTTAAGCTTCTAATTGGTGTTTAAATTGTCCGTTGCATGCTGCTGTGGGTTGTTTTTCTCTTGATCAGATAAAATGCTTGAAATTTCTGGGTTAGCAGTTGCTGCTGTTTTTTCAAAATCCTTTAAAACTAGTCTTTGTGTAAGCAAAATCTAGTTGGGAGCACACCAATATTATGAATTACTAATTCACTGAATTAATGAAATTTGCCCAAGACAACAACACCTTACTGCTAGGCAGTGTCTAATGAGGCTGTGCACTGCCGTTAGCGTTAATGCACAATTAAAAACCTTCTGGCTGGGGTTTTGTGCCCACAGTTGGAAGCTTTTGAGGCCTCGTTGTGTGGATGGTATCATAAGGTAAAATCCAGCCCCATATGTAGGGAACCAGAGAGCTGACACTGATGTGTTTTTGTTTCCTGTGGAGTTTCTGTCTCACCAACTGCTTTGAACCGAAGGGATCTCGGTGTCCTGCACGACTGGATTTGTCTTCAGGACTGAACTTTCCATTGCTTAAGGTTGGAAATGGGATTTGCCATTTTCTTCCAGTGGCTACAACCAGATTGGTCCGTGTTCACCCAAACAGCAGCTCTTCACCCTGGGATAACTGAACATGTTGTATTACGTTATTTTTTGAAATGGACACGGTTTAAGTTAACACAAAGTTTTGGTTTTGGCTGTTTTGGATTGGTTGGTTCTGCCAGTAATAAAAGTAGGTAAAGCCTGTGTCTGGGGAGAGGGGCATGGATGGTATTGCTGTTTGTTTGAAGCTCCCCTCCAGCTCCTTGCTGAGTTAGATTTTTCTCATAGATCACAGGTAGGTGTTTTGTAATATCCTCCAGAAAAAAAGTCTAAATCAGTCCAGCTTCACCACCTTTACCGGGGCGGAGGGGGGATCCAGTGCCAGATTTAGATTGCATTTACCAGATAATGCAGTGTTTTCATCAGAACTGCTGTCATCATCTGGGAGAAGCAATTCCTGACTAGCTTTGTCATCAGTGCTCACTTTCATTGTTTTAATGCTTCAAAGGGCCCTTGTGAAAGAGCTTTGACTTGGGATCCCTGAGCAGACAGTGGCTGCTCCCACGACCCGCTTCTCCAAAGCAGTTAGTCAGCAGCTCATCCCACTTCGGAGCAGTGATGTTTGTGACTATTTGCAGGAGGTTTGGCCTGCTTGAATGTTTTATTTGCTTTGAGCACTCAACATTCAGGCCTCGGGTGTATATTGCTGCTATCTCAAATTTAATTTCAAGAGGCTTGGTTTTTAATCATTTTTAAACTTTTTTTTTTTTTTAATCAGCTTGACATTTTTGGCACTCAGGAAGTGAGAACTGGGCTCCGAGTCCATGGCGAGTTTCCTCCAAGCTCATTCCTGGAGCAGTTGTCTTTAGAAAAACCATAAAAGTCAGAGTAGGAAGCAACAGATGCTTTTGACATGGCCAAAATTCCACGAAGGCTTACATTTCACCAAAGATAATTATACAACTTTGCATGTTTTGCACAGTGTTCACAAAGTTAAGCTGAATAGACTGAATAATTATCTTTTTTAAAATTATTGATTAAAATAATGTTGTTTCTCACTTGTTCAGAGCCTCTGCCATAGCAAACATGCATTATTGTGATATTATGCCATCCAGGGAAGCTATTTTTTTCAGAACTTTGTTTCAAATTTGTTTTGAAAATGCAATTACAAGTGACGGATGGAGCTCTAACCAAAATTATTTACCTTCTACTTCAGTATTATGTATGTGCTTTTGCTTGTTCCACACCTCTAAGCTAATAAATCATCAGGCCAAAGGTTTTGTAAGTTTGTTAAGTAGCTGAGTAAAGCTCTGAACTGCCTGAAATGCATTCAGTGGTGAACATGCCACAGTAGAGTGTGCTGTCGGTCTGCCAGGGCTCCCAGGGGTTTCTGCTCGCTGCCTTCCCCTCCCTCAGCCCACTCTCGCTTTTGCTGAAGTCCTCAAGGAGCTGTTGCAATCCAGCTCTTAGGAAAGTCAGGTCCTGACCATGTAGCATGTCTTATGTAAATTATTTTGGTGGCTTTTAAACCAGGCCCTTTGATTTCTGTCTAGCAGTAACTGAAATCCTGCTGATGTAACCAAATAATCTTGTAGGTCCTCCACCAGGCCGGAGGTGGCGAGCATAGAGCTGGCAGAGCAGGATGAGCGCCAGTGTTCGCAGAAAGCTGTTGTCCAGGCACGGTCCTCCCAGCCCACACGTCTGACAAGTATCATCTTTGCCGAAGATATAAGTGAGTTTTAACTTTTGTAAGGACAGCACTACTTGTTTATGGATATCCTGGCATCCTCCAGAAAGAAAGCAGAGATGTCAAAGTGCACATTCATATACATAATCATCTTAGAATTTCCATGGGCATGGTTTTTAAGTTCAGTTTGTTAAAGGCCTTAGATAAGTGTTAATGATATTAATGATACATCCAGGAAAACAGGAATTTATTTATTTATTTATTTATTTATTTAAAAGGGGGGGTGGCTGAAAATACTCTTCAGTACATGCTTTTTATATCATGCAAATTCAGATGTTTTGCATTTAGAAAGCTGAAAATTGCCTTTGTGTCTCTCACACAATATACCTGGTTAGTTTTTATAACGAGAGAGGGAAAAACAGATGGTCAATTAAATGTCTTGCAGTCACTAAATGAAGAAGTATATAGGGGTTTACTGTCTGTGGGTAGAAGTCATTATGTTCTCTAGGACGTGAGCCGTGTCTGACAGTTGTACTGTGGAAACTCTTAATAAGTACTCAGAGAAAACGTCTGTAACTGTTGGTGTAGATAGCAATCACCATTTTTTTAAGATTTATTCTACAGTTCAGTGAGGAAGGGAACTGCTTTTCTTGCCTGCTTAGCCACAATCACCATTTGACCAAGAGTTTTCTTAGTCAAGGTCATGACCCAGTTTCAGTTCCTTCAATGTCAGTGTGTTGTGTCATTGGCTAAATTTCAGGTGGCATTTTTCTTGTTGGTGCTCTTGATGGGCATGTCCAGTGTTGCTGATTCCATGTGCTCTTTCACATGTCTCTTCAAGTGACTGGACAAGTGCTTCGTTGTGATGCGATAGTTGATATAATTCATGGCATCCAAATTGTGTCCACAACAAGAGAACTCTATCTTGAAGATTCACCACTGGAGCTAAAAATTCAGGCTTTGGATTCTGAAGGTAAGATATTTACTAATAAGAGATAAAATAGATGTTGAAACTCTTAATTATCTGATATGTACACTGGTTTTATTAATGAATGTTAGAAGCCAAGCTGAGTAATTGAAAATGCATTCTCTGGATGATACATTCAGTAACCTGATGTTTTTGTTTAAGTCTAAAATCTACATACCACCTGAATAGGAAAATCAAACACTACTTGATTTCCAACAACTTTTGCTTACCTTTTTTTTTTTTTTTACTTATTTGCCCAGGAAACTTAACTCTAGTGCTAAGGTTATTTTTAAAAATCAGAATTTAAAATCTGGGTAAGAAATGAAATTCCAGGTACAAATGTAATGGAAAAAGTGCCAACATTTGTCCTGTTGAAATGTCCCATCAGGATTTAACTAGGCTGAGCAAGGCTGCACAGGAATGTGAAGTAGTCTGCTCTTTCTGTTCTTTTTTTTTTTTATTTTTCCCCTTTTGAGCAGAGAATAGTCTAAAGAATTTCACAAAAGGACATTTTATCTGAGTGCAGTCAGACACACAACAGGATATTCAGAGATATTGTTGCAGACCAGCCGGATATTGCTTGGATTAATAACCCTTAATTATTATAGAAACACTCACTTCTGGGAGGTGCTGTTCATGCTCATAAAAGTCAGTGCATTTGGACTGAATCCACAATTATTTAACAGGAACAGAAAACTTCTGCTTTTCATGCTGTTTGTAGCATCAGGAAAAGAACCATGATGCTGGTAACAATTGAATGCTTTGGTTTCAACAATCAACTTTTGTGCACGCATCAACTCTCATACGAACCAAGTGATTTTTAGGACAACTGCAGGGTTGAAGGAAATAATATGTAAAGCAGCTATAAAAGGTTGAATTGTTTGGATTGGATAATTTGTTTGTTTGTTTGTTTTTAAACTATGAATTCCAGGTTATATATGACAATATGTTAATAATGAAAAGTAATTTCATGCCTTGGAAGCCACCCAAGTTGGAGTCTGAACAGGAGCAGTGGTTTAAACCCCACAAAGAACATTTAATCTGTGTGACTGAAACAAGATGTTGGTTAGAAGGTGTAGGTCTAAACTTCCCAATCTAAGTTTGGAGGATCAGGATACACTCAAAAGCTTTGAAAATCAGTTCCTTTTGACCCACAAAACCTTGAGATCCATCCTTTGGAGACCTTTGGACATGTTGGACTCTCAGTGGTCTTCCTTGGCGCACTTAAAAAAAAATGGTAATTCAAGAGCGGTGGCAATTTTACTGAAGGACATAATTGTTCAGAAGTCAGAGAATTGAATAAGGGGCTTCTGAACACTCTATCTTTTGAATATTTAGAAGGTGAAAAAGTCAATATAAAACAGTTATCCAGTCCAATAAATATTGGGAAAAATCTGCTTAGTTTTGCTGAAAACTTGCACAAGGCCTGGGTGTTGAACCTGTTAATGCAGCCTCGTGTGAGAGGGAGAGAGAGTAGGTGCTTTGTATCAACCTTTGTATGTACACGTTGTTGCAGTGACGTAGCTTTTTCTCTGGTATGTAAAGTTGTTAAGCGGGCCCTGGAGATGTACCAAGTGCAATTTGTTTGGGGCTGATGATGATTTTTGCATCTTGCATCACCAGATTATTGCATCTGGTATGGGTCAGACCATTCATTAATAGTCTACTCCTGTGAGTATCAGTATATCTTCAGGAAGAGTTTCATTCCTCCTTCTCTTCCATATATTTATATATATATATAGTCCAGTTATTTTTTTCATAAGCTGTATTTTTTAATCAGTTACATTAATGCAGATTTCTTTTAGTACATGTTTTTAGTGAACCACTCCGAATATAAACTCGATCCTCAAATATTACTTTTCAAAGGTTACTAATGCAAGAGAAAAAAGATGATCGTGGAGATCTTTGGCCAAATTAAGTATAGAGGGACAAAAAGTCATATTATACATTGGTTTATCTGTTGAACTTTGCTCAAGTTATTTTATTATGACTTAACTAGAGGTGACTTAAATAGGAGAAAGACTTGAAAGATGTGATTTAAATAGGGGAAAGACTTGAAACATGTGCGTTTGCATTTCTTTGGCTATGAGTGTGTAAGGAACACAGGCTTCCTGCCTAGCCATGATGCAGAGCACCTCAAGACAGCTGTTGTTAACTGGGGATGGCTCCTGCCTTGCCAGTGAGAGCAGCTTTTCTGCTAAAGCTTCTCAGAGGAGCAGCTCTGGGCTGGGTTACAGCTGTGGAGCAGGAGCACAAGTCACTGCCTACGTTGAGATCCAAGGAGGCTGAGAGGGTAACGTTACAGCTGGCCAGGGCAGCTGGTCTGCAGCTCCTGTGACAGCTGTGTGCTCCTGCAGGGAGGGACAAAGCTGTGATATAGTTCATGACAAGTGCTGTGTTACCTGTCTGCCTCCCTGGGTGCTGCCTCTGATCTGCTTAACCTGGAGAGAGCTGCTGCCCTCCGTGCTGCAGCAATAGCTGATCCTGTCTTGGATGAGCGGGACCCTGGGGAACTTGTCTGTGATAACCTGAACTTGCCTTCGTAGCGAGGGACCCCAGCAGGAGCCAGGACATCCAGGCCCAGTGGTGATTTGGAGTCTGCCAGGATGGTTTCGTGCTTCTGCTGCCCGTTCCCTGCAGCACGGGCTGTGTCCAGGCACAGCTTCTCCATACTGCCATGACGTGCATCTTTTCTCCTGGCCTGTTATTTTAAGTTGGAGCAGAACAAAAGAGTATAACACAGCTTTGCAAAGCTAAAACATGCATCATTAAAGAAAGTTAGACTTGAATGGATGTTAAATAACCCAGTCTCCATCAATTTTAATTATATTGCCTTGTGTGTTTAGAGTTTTGTGTTTAAAATCATCTTTATTTGGGATTTGGAACTATCTGCAGTAAGTTGTATAGAAATGGGAGAAACAACATAGACTATGAGTTGCATTATTTTGTCTTAAAATATTTTTGTGGCTTAAAAACATCATAAACCTTTAAGCATAACAATTTGAGAATAAATTGGTTTTGACTCTTACTTTAGTAATATAGATGTGAATGTCAAAGGGAAGAACACAAATGAAAATGTATTTTAAAATATAGCACAAATAACTGGGATTTCAGTTCGATATTTATGGAGTAAGACCAAGAAGATTATAAGACCTTTCAGATTAGCAGCTCATTACACTTCAGTGTAATCATGATAAATCTTTGCTTTCAGACTGTTTATACCTTTTTGTTCCTTTTTAACATATGATTTACAATTTCTTCTGTTCTAGTGGTTCATGGTTTTGTAGAAAAAAGGTGCTCAATTTGAGTTCTTTTATTGAAGACTTATTTCTGTTATGGGTAAATCATTGTTGTAGTCGAAACCAAAACAATATATGTGAAAAGCGCAGCTCCTCAGTGCTGTGAACGCAAGTTGCCCAAATGATGTCTCAGATCTACATGTTCCAGAATGAAAGATTGTTTAGCAGGGGTTTTCCTCGGGTGTCCTGCTGATATCCAAGAAATAGTAAGGTTTTTGTGGTCAAAGGGGGAAGGAGGAGGCAGGTGCCTATCTAGTGGGCTTTGTGAAAAACATAAAGCAGCATATGGTGTTGTAAACTGGGAGCTGAAAAGCCACTTAACAGAAATACCTTAAACTTGCCAAAGTCAGCAAAACAAGATAGATTCTGATTGTAACTACATACCACTCGTGCTTCTTCTGGGGATAAAACAGAGAAATTTCTTAGGGGAAAAAGTGATAGTTTATGTTCCAGGAGGACTCTGTGCTTGTTATTTATTTTTGTTTTAATCTGATGGCTTGATTTACAGGAAACACTTTCAGCACATTGGCAGGGTTAGTCTTTGACTGGACAATAGTAAAAGACACGGAGGCTGATGGCTTCTCAGATTCTCACAATGCCTTACGGTAGGTTCATTTACTTTGTTCTCAGAAGTCTCACATCCATTAAGTTTGATGTGTTTAGATATTTCCCCACATCTAGGCAGTTTACTGAACTGGTGCCTGAAATAATGCTTATGGGTCAGTTGTTTCAGGGATTTTTTTTAAAGTGCGTACTCAACAGAACGGGCACTCTCTCATCCCTGTTTAATTTAACAACTGATGGTGTTAATGAGCAGCCCAGGTAGCTCTAATCCAGCAACTAGCAATAAATAGATACAACTGTCAATCTTCCTGAAACATCTTGTGTTTCAAGCAGAAAAGACTGCTATCTCAGGATTTCAGCAGACAGGGTTTTTTAATTTTAAATTTTTTTAAGGGGGAAAAAAAAAAGTCCTCTTCCATTTCAGAAAGCAGCTCTCTGGACTTGAGAATTTCAGGTCTCAGTCAACACCTAGTTCTGGTGTTGAAATAGCTTTCAAACTACCTAACTTTAAACTGAAATGGATCAAGTGGCTGCTTGTACACTAGATACAGCTCATAGGGCCAGGTGAAATAATTAAATGAAAGGTATTCAATGAAGATATTCAGTACATTTTCTTGCAAATAAAGCAATGAATGGAAAGCACTTGCTTGATAAATAAGCTATGGTGCTTGGTTCAACTCAAAGAGTAAGTTAACTGGAATTTAGAGGTGCTGTATTTTGTGGAAACTTCTATCCGAAGATGTTGAAAGTGCTTTTCAACTGACTAATAAGAAATATTTTTCAGCATTTCTATATAATAAGGAAATATTCCCTCCATTTAATGAAGGTGGAGTTCTTGCCCAAAAGTTAGAACACTCTCCTGTGTCAGGGATAGGATAGAATTCAGACAGTATACTTTTTTTTTTCTTACAAAAAGAAAATTCCCCAATTCAGAGAGGATATTTTTCCTCTAATATTTGTCACCAGACCATCTTTGGCCTCTGTTTTGGTGCTGGATTTTTTTTATTTTTATTTTTTTTTAAGTTGATGAAGCATGGGCACTATGTAGTTTTACAGTGGTGACTTCATTGTTCTGTTCTTCACTGGCTTCAAACAGACATTTGATTTTTCCATCCTTATTAAACTAACCAGAATTGAAGGCTACTTAGCAGTACCTTGTATGGGATATTTTTCAAGTTGGACCCCAAGAGTTTTATCTTTGCAGTGACACCACCTGGTCTCAACACACCAGGATCCTGTTATCTACCCGTTATGTTATTATTCCTCACATTAAGTGCCATGGTGAAAATGGACTTAGTGTGAATGTTGGTAGAAAAAAATGCTTCCCTGATACATGTGAATTTGACCAGACTGCAGACACATGGGTTTTCTCACAAAATAGTTGTTTACAGACACTTCTTGAGTACAGCTTTAGTCAAAACTTCCCCAACATATAATAAACTTGTAAGATGAAATAGATTCAAACTCATGCACTGGAGGCTTCAGTTACTTCAGAAAACAAGTTCCAGTAAAATCTAGGTAGGTTGTGGGACATAAAATGATGTAGGAAACTATATCTTCCATTAAAAAACCTGACTTTATTCATGATGATTCTGTTGACTAGATGTGGGGAAACAAGTTCTCTTGGCAGAATATTTAACAGTTAGCTTGCATGCTCCAACTTATTTTCCAAATACGTTGGAAATGGGGTACAGGTAGCAAACAAGACTTTTTGCTACTGCTTGAATACAAACTCCTTTGCAGCCTCAGGGAAGGAACTGCCCAGCATTCCCTGAGGAAAGCCTGGTAAGCCAGTAATACGCTTGAAGCTGCAGGTATGAGTGTGTGGCCCCTCTACAGTGAGAGGCAGAGGCTGTGCTAATTGTTCAGTGGGACTTAGGATCTGAGTCCCAGTCCATACGGAGCTTTTTGTTTCAATATAAGGATTTGCTAGAGATGTGACTTTAACTCACCTAATATTGATGTATGCTCTACTGTTAGCTCAGCTCTGGTAACAGAAAAATGTTCTAATGGTGTTACCACTTTGCAAAATAAATAATAAACTATCATAGAATGGTTAGGATGGGAGGGGCCCTAAAAGCTCACCCAGTCCCACCCCCCCTGCCAGCAGCAGGGACACCTTCCACTAGACCAGGTTGCTCAAAGCCTCATCCAGCCTGGCCTTCAACACCTCCAGGGAGGGGGCATCTACAACTTCCTTGGGCAACCTGTTCCAGTGTCTGACCACCCTCACAGCAAAGAACTTCTTCCTAATATCTCATCTAAACCTCCCCTCTTTCAGCTTAAAGCCATTTCCCCTTGTTTTGTCATTAACTGCCCTTATGAAAAGTCCCTCCCCAGCTTTCTTGTAGCCCCTTCAGGTACTGGGAGGCCACTATAAGATCTTCCCGGAGCCTTCTCTTCTCCAGGCTGAACAGCCCCAACTCTCTCAGCCTGTCTTCATAGGAGAGGTGCTCCAGCCTGAGCCCTGTCATAAATATGTTAATATTCATAACTGTTCTCAATGTAGCTTTATTGATTTTACAGTGAAAGTGCACATAAAGCCAAACAGGTCACGTGTCTCCAGAGGCCGGTACTTCTAAAACAATTTCTCTCCTGTCGTTTCCCTACTCGTGGCAAATTCCCTTTCTCTATGTTGTCACATCTCATTGAAATTTCTAACAGTTACTATTGAGTATTCTGCTTGTAGGTTTTTTTTAATAGTAATTTATTAAATGCATCCTAGCCTCTTCAAAGAGGCCAAAGTTACGTTCTTATGTTTTTAAGCTGTTGCTTTAATGAACATAAGCTTTGGGTCTTTCGCATCAGTTGTTCCACAATAATCTAGAGAGTTTTTGCCACCTACACCTACTGTAAAAACTGGAGGGATCATTATAGACAACATGTGCAGTCTTCTGATATCTCTGGAAAGCCCACAAACAAGCTCCAAACAAACTTTTATCAGTCCCAGAAATTAGCTGCAGATATCTTGAAGAATGAGTAAAACTTGGATATCCGGTCCCAGGCAGACATCTTAAATTTGCTTAAAAAGAGAAATAGCCAGGAATAGATGCTGATGGTGTTTCTCTGTGGGTTTACAAAGGTTGGTTAACAATTTTCTATTCACTCTTTGGTTCACATTTCAGTATACTCAAGTTTTTAGAATCCACTTATATTCCACCTTCCTATATATCAGAGATGGAAAAAGTTGCCAAGCAAGGAGATACCATTTTGGTGTCTGGAATGAAAACAGGGAGTTCTAAATTAAAAGCAAGAATACAGGAAAGCGTCTATAAGGTAAGAGACTTGCATTCATCTTTTATTATTATTATTATTATTTAGTCTTACAGCCCAATGTTACAGGAGTACTGCAGGTTTTCCCTGCCTTATTGTTGCCATTGTGGGTATCAGCATCACATCTCTGTCTAAATGGATTGACTCTGGAGCCCGTATCACAAAAGATGACAGTGCTGCTCTTGATCATCCTGAAGGGGCTGGAGTTTGAGGCCATTACCTTGGTGCAGTACCTAACCCAGGGCAGTGCATGTGCCAGAGATCATTTCTAAACCTATGCCTTTGACAAAAGGCCCTGCTGCAGAGGAACACACTTCAAATACTTCTGTACAATTTTATTATTCCTCATAGTCATTCATACTAATATATATAACTAGAATCATGCTGGATAGGGCATTGGCCCTTTAGCCCTTTTTAAAAATAACCAACTAGAACACTTAGTCTTTTATTCAATAAATCAGTAGCTAGAACAAGGATTGCTATATGGGATATAGCTTTATTTCCTGTTATGCTTGAAATGAGTGTCATGTGAATACTTTGTTAGTATCTAATTCTACCTCATTAGATTCTGCTCTCCAAGGAAGGGCTTTGGGATCAGAATGCCAGTGCTACAAGGGTGTTAAACTGCAGTATTGGCAGCCTTCCCAGCTGTGGTGTAGATCCATGCTGTTTCTTTCTTTGTAACTTGTGGTGACGGAGTTTTTCACTTAACTCTGGTAACAAGAGTTGTTTCTTCTCTTAATAGAATTTACAAACACTTGAGATATTTTTTTTTTATGGGTTATCGCTTACAGGAATACTTGGCATTGTGCTAGTATCAACTTAATACTACAGCTTAAAAAATCCCTTGGATAAAATGGTTGGGTTTTTCTGAAGCTTCTCTCGTATCTGCAGTCTGGTTTTGCAGATTTGTGTTACTACATGTTGTACTTAATGTTTCTGCTTAAAGCATAATTGCCTTGGACTATCTAACCCATACTTGTAAAAAGTGTCACATGGAAAATATTATCTTACTGTATGTGGCACAAATAATAGTGCATGTTCAGACATTATTTTACAGTTCTACCTTTGGTAAGTTACTCTACATGGTATCAGTCTGACTTTTTTTTTTTTTTTTCTTGAATGCTTGTAGCTTTGTTAGTTTTCTGGTTTAATATTTGTTTTTCTGCATTAGTTTTGAGCTGATACCATCTGTGAAATTGAAATAATATTGTTCCATTTGCGATATTTTACGGCTTTCTGCTTAGTGATTCCTTTAAATCTTTCACTGTTTCCAGACTGCACATTTTCAGTGAACATCCATCAAACAACTGTAATAGAACTGATACAATTATCTGTTGTATTCCTAATTTAATAGCCCAATGAGTTTGATAGAGATTCCTCAGTGAAGTTACAAAGGATGTGTTGTATGCAGGTATCATGTTTTACAGTAGGGAAAATAAATTTCTAGATGTCTGAATAGTCACTGTGCATCTGTCTCAAGTTTTTCTGTATTCTCCAGAAAACTAAATGAAAATTATGTCTGTACAGACTTGATATCTTTTCTTCAGCCTTGTACAGTGTACAGAGAGCAAATCTCTACACCATTCATTGTCCTTTGCATTTCCCTGTTGTGACAAAATTTGAGATAATAATAAAGAGCCAATTACAGGAAGTAATATTTTTCACTTATAGATTATAAGTTTTTGCTGCATGGTCTGTTTCAAACAAATGAACTGCTTTAAATGTGGTTGCTTTTTCTTTTTTTTTTTTTTTTTTTTTTTTCCCCCTCAATCAATAGCATGTACATCCTGCAGAAGTCAGATTGCTTATTTTGGAAAACATCCTTTTAAATCCAGCATATGACATTTATCTTCTGGTAGGAACATCAATTCAGTACAGAGTTCAGAAAATAAGGCAAGGGAAGATTACAGGTTTGTCCCGTTCTTTTTGTGGTTGTTTGGTTGTTGCGGGGTTGCGGGGTTTTTTTAATGTTTTGTGTGAATTTTTAACTGCTGAGAAATTTTTAATTGTATTTAAACTACTTTGTTAATATTTAATACTGTTTTCCTGTCACCATCACTACATGATAATACAGCTGTTTAGTTTTTTTCTGTCAAAAAAATTGTGTCTATAAAGGACATACTCTTGCAGATTTGTCAAGGACATAAAGGTAAGGGTAACTTAGAACAGGACCTAACACTGTCATTTGAGATGTACTCATTTATTTCACGTTGACTAAGAAACTGTGTCTGACTTTCTTAGTTAAATCAAATTTAGATTCGCAATTTTTCTAACAGTAAATGTTTTCTTGAGAAATGGATTTTATCTGCTTCTACAATTTTAAGTTTGTAATTGCATCTATTGCTTACAAGGAGCCTGTGCTGGTAATGAATTTGTTGGTTTGGTTTGGTTTGGTTTTTTGTTGTTTTTTTTCCAAAACCAGATAAGAAATGTTTTACTGGGCTAGTACACTAGGGTCACTACATCAGCTAGTAACACAGAATGGAGCAGCAGAAATTGTCAGTAACTTGTAGAAAGAAATTTGACCACTTTTGAAACTGGGAATGAGTTGGATGTTAGGTTGAAACAGTGGGCTGATATTAATTGGAAATTGCATCTTCAATGAAATGTAAGTTAGACAAGAAGCTAATTTTGTGTGTGTGTGTTGGTACAATCTCAGAAACACTATTTCTACAAGACATTAAAAATAATGAGTTAATGTTTGTAGTAGGCATCGATAAAAATTAATCAGCAATAATTAGCAGCATCTAAACACTGACACGTTGGCTTTTATTGTTTTATATATTGTCTTGTTTTATGTACAGAGTTAATGATGCCATCTGACCAGTATGAACTGCAGCTACAGAACAACGTACTCGATCCCGAGGGAGATCCGTCTCGGCCGGTTGCCAGGTTGGACCAGGCAACATTGGTTGTAACTGCATTGCAGCAGGGACAAACAAACCTTGTGCTGGGGCACAAGAGTATCCTTCCTAGGTGATGCTTTGCCATCCAGATCTTCGTGGCAGGAGACAAACTTTCCACCCTTTGCAGCACAAAAAGATAAAATTATCCACATTTATACCAGTAGTCTTGAAAATCCAAAGCACCTGGTGGAGCCATAGAAAGCAGTGTTGCTGTGAGTTCAGTCTCAACAGAGCTGCCTGATGCCTTGAAATGTTCTAAGAAATTAGACTGGCAAAAGATCAATTAAATTGTGTCTGTTCCCCTCAGTCAATGTGGAAATGTGATGGGGCTTTATTTAATTTTTATGTTGAGAGCATTATATTCTCTAATGGGATCTCTCTAAAATGCTCACTCTTTCACGATAGTGGGGATAACATTTATTTTCAGCGTACAATTAGCTTTAAATATCCAAAGAGGCACAAGGAGCCGCAGGATCAAGCTGATCTTTACTTGACCTTTGACAAAACTTTTCTGTTCCTTCACTGACTCTTCAGGTATTCGCATGCAAGGGGTCTCCAGACTCCCCAACAGCACTATCTACGTTGTAAATCCTGGGTATTTAGGTTGGTACTGGCTGCAGTTTTCCTGATTGCTTATTATAATTTCTTGCCTTGTTTTTTGTATTGGTGTTTTTCTATGTGTATATACATGCTCCTATTTCTTGTGTTACTTTTCATAGAAAAGTAATTTTATTCATAAAAGCAGCTCAATGTAAAATAGGTTTAGTAGTAAATATTTATTCATTTTCTTTCATCTCTATATTCAGTAACTTAATGAAGGTGCATCTTCAGAGTGTGGGCACCAGAAGCAAAATGCTAATATCCATTATGTAAAGAGGCCGTTGATTTGTTCAATATTTCCTGTTTTGTAGGATTTACAGTTCATCCAGGTGACAGATGGGTCCTAGAAACAGGCAGACTTTATGAAATTACAATTGAAGTGTATGATAAATCAAGCAATAAGGTGTATTTATCTGATGTAAGTTGAAATGTTGATATACTTTTGAGTGTCTGTCTCCTAAATCCTGGCGTGCTAAAGTTTTGTTGTTGATTGCTGGTTTTGGTTTTTGTGGGTTTTTTTTAAAATAAAGTGCTCTGGGTGATTTATGTGAAGATGCCCACTGGAGTCTAAGTGCTGTAGAAAAAAACTGGAAGAAGTTGGACAGTGTACTTCAAACATGTAGCATTAAAACTCTTCACTGTTTGGTAGTTAAATAAGATTAATTCTAGGTGCTAGCTGCCAAATATACATTGCTCTTAAATCTTGGTTGTTTTTTTTTTTTTAAGTAGTTCATTGGCAAGCAGAAAAGTGTTATTAAGTTACTGCTTTTCAGAATATCAAATTTGCGTTTATTTGCTTCCTGAGATGTAGGTCTGAGTTTCAGCCAGATAGCAGAACAGCTGTGCTATTGGGGTCGTATATTTGCATATTCTTCCTCTCTTGTGTACAAGAATGACAAAATTAAGAAGTTACTATAAAATATGGATTATTTAGTAGTATAAATTTGGTACCTTTTGTTAAATTACATGTTGCTGATAATTTTTAAAAAATAAATATTTTCTGTGGAGCTAATGCTGTGTCTAAAATACATAATCTCGTTGAAAGACTGAAACTTTCATAGAGAAAAATTCTTGTTCAGCTTCAGATAAGTTTCTTTGAACTCTGTGATTAAGCAATTGTTTTCTCATTGATTTGTTGCTAATATGTTTACGGCTGTTTGTACAGTATTCATGTCAGTTACCTGTGGCATATCTATTTGATGTTCTGCTTTTAGAATATCAGAATTAATACAAAGCTGTCCAAAGAATATTTTGAGGTGCTGAAGTCATCTCTGAATGGATCATATCATTATGTGAAAGCAATAAAGGAGGGTCAGACCATTATTGATGCTGCACTGACATCGGTAGTAGATCAGGTATGTATTTATAGTAACTCTTCTGCTTGACTGGTAGGCCTAAAGATAATTTAGTTGTGCAGTAGTGACTTAGTAGTGATGTAGTGAAAGGAAACTTAAGAATTACATGGGTCTAAGCCGTCTTTGTTTAAACAGATTAAGAACCAAATTCTGAAATCCTTACTTCAGGAAATCTGTCAATTAAGTCAACAGAGGATTTGCTTAAAAAAAGACTGGGATTTTGCTACGGAGTGTGTTGCAAGCACCTGTTAAACTAGTGGTGCACAGCACTGATTCTTTTTTTCATGGCAGATACTTATGTGGGCACTTATCATATCCTTGTGCTGGTGCAAAGGTCCTCTCACATTCTCTGAGTGAATTTTACAATTTATTGTGGTAGGATCATCAGTGTCGTACCCTGGCCTTGTTCCGCATTCAGTTACATTTGGAAAGTTTTCTGTTATTTGGTAAGTGATGTTAAATGCTGGAATGAAAATCTGCCAAATGTATCAGCCTGCAAATTTCTTCCAATTAATATTCATTAACTTTCTGCTAGTTGGGCAGGCTGCTGAATGTATGGCTAACTAGGGCACGTGGTGTGAAAGTGATTTGCTTTTGCTTGAAACTTGGAAAAATTCAACATTTCAACCCATTTGCTGTGAAATCTTTTTAGTGATTCCTTGAGTAGGACTTAGTAGATCCCGGTGTATGATCAGCTGTGCTCATTCTCTGTGTCAGAGAGGTACTGTTGAATGAAATGAGGTCAGCTGAGAGTTGTTAAAAGTTTTCCTTCAAAACTCCAGTAAGACACAGTATGTTGTGGCAGAGGGATTACAATTACACCAGAGTTTTAAAGGCCAGTATTTCAGGGTGGGCTGAGGAGTGGATCTTCTAGGCAGAGTTTTGTTTTCACCTGCTGAGGAGTGGAATGAGCAAAGAGTAAATGCAGGTGTGGAGGTACCAAATTAGTTCTCCAGAGGAGGTCTCAAAAACTAGAAGTTGAGAAAGAGGGTATTTCTTGTTGCTGTTTGCCTTTTAAATTAGTGTGGGCACCTGTATGTCCATAGCAATACTACTCATTTAATACAATAGCACCCTTTGCTGTGATGAGCTGACTATTTGCTCACAGGTAACAGTGTTTGTAAGTGACCCAAAATAGTTGCTTTCCTTTCTCTCTGAGGTATTTTCAACACTTTTATATATATATAAGGACTAAACACTGTTCCTAGGAAGCACTATGGTGTCATTTATAGTACTGTGCTGTTGCTTTTTCTAGGATGGAGGTGTTCATACATTACCAGTTCCAGTGCGAAACCAGCAAGATGTTGAAATATATGTCCCCATAGTTCTTTCACCTGGCATTCTGACGTTTCCTTGGCAGCCAAAAGCAGGACTCTACCAGTACACCATACAGGTATGCCAAAGCAGTATCTAACTGCAGGAAGTATTGCTTAAGCAGGCACAGCGAGGCCTCTAACTGCTTATATAGAGGTGACTTTGGATACCTCAGGCACAGTCATATCCAAAACCTTATTTGGAGGAATATTTTTGGATGTTAGTTGCAGAAATTAATATGTAGTTTAAAAAAAAAACCACACAAAAAACCAACAAACATAGAAACCCCACTGGCTTTACCTCTTGTCTTTCATTCACTTCCTCTCTCCCTCACGCACGTGCCAAATGTGCACAGAGTGGTTTGGAATTACAGAAAGCATCCTAGGTACAAAGCTTAGTAGTCATAAATGAGAGGCTGCCTCCTGTAGAGGGATGGGCCTATGGGAGTGTGACTTGGACTGTGAGGTGAGTGCAAAAATGTCATGACAGGATGAATGGGCAGTGCTCTGTCAGCCCTTGATGTCGGTATCCTTCATCCCCACACATCTCATGCTTCTAATAAATAGTCACCGAGAGGCAAAGGCCACAGTTTCAAAGTCCCTTCTAAAGGGAATTTTTTCTTAAATTCTTCTGTGTGTCTGGTGCCAATCCTTCCATATGCTACATGAAGCAAAGTCTCCAGGTATCCAGAGTGTAGTCTAACTGGAGAAAAGAACATGGTGTTTCCCCAGCCCAGACTCTCACCTCAATACGATCAGTGTACTGTAACTTTTTTCCAATTAAACTGTACCCAGATCCTGGGCTCAGGTGTTCCCTGCACAGTTCCTACCTCTCTCCCTTTTAACATGAAGTAGTGCTGAGGTTTGGGTCTACCTTCAAGTAAACAGTATAGAAAAAGGCAGCAGGACATGTGGTGTCTGAAGTAAACAAATCAATCTCATAAGGATGAAATTGCATTCTCTAGTGTAAATCTGAAGTTAACGCCATCGAGTTTAGCGTTGTCATCTGTATTTTTAATTTCTGTGGGATTAGTTTGGTTTAGTTCATGCTATACCAAACCACACCAGCAGAGTGTGGTAAAAATTCTTAGTACAAATACACATTTTCAGTACTTCATCATGACTTCTGCTAGAGCCCAGTAAGGAAAAGTAAATGTGTTTTTCCGTTTCCCACCTCTTTTACAGTTCTATTCTTGTCTCACCTTATTTTGCATATATAATCAGATATCTGACTAGAGAACATTCCTTTGTGGTACTCCAATAATTTGCATCAGGATTCTTCCTTTACTGTGATTTTTTTTTTTCATTAAAAACATAAACTTTTTTTTCTCCCAACATTTATATCAGTTTGTATTTACTGAAACTGAGAACATTTTCCCAGTCTGCTCATTCAACAATACTAGTAGTTGTTTACAGTAGCACACAGCTTGACTGTTGTTCCTGCCTGTAGATTAGTGTTTGCCTCCTACTCATAGTTTTTGAGTCAGGCTATTTTAAATTGGTGAATAGACTTTTTCTGAAAACAAGTTGAAAGGGATTTTTGGATCTAGCCAAATTCTGTTTATAGCTCAAGTAACTCCTTCCAGATGGTATCAGAATGACTTTTAAGTTTTACTTTGTCAGCTGTCTGTTTTTTTTGTTGGTTGCTTTGTTCATATTTGTGCTAATAAGATGGTTTCTGTTGCAAGTAAAAAAGGAAAAAAAAAAAAAAGAAAAGGACATTTCCTGCCTTCCTTCCACACACTAGAGAAGTGAAGCACCATTTTTGTGAAGTTAGGTATGTGAAGGTTGTTTGGTTGTTGTTTTTATTTCTAGTGAGGGCATTACTGTCACTGGTGACAGTTTGTGGAGTGGAGTTCAGGTAACAGGCTGTGGATAATGAGTAGACTGAAATAGAAGCTGGTTTGCCCTTTCTCTCCTCAGTGCAAACTGGCTGCTAGAGAGACAAATGTAGTAATGCATCTGGTTGGTATGGCAATGAGATGTGACTCCATAGAGTTATTAAGAATTGGTTTTTTTTTTTTTTATTATTTTATGTTTTCTGTTCATTTCCCTGTTTTAATTGAAAATATCTTTACAAAACAGTCTCAACTTTTATATTCTTTAAAGATTTTTTTGCCACATCCCGTGCATCTCTTTCTGTCACACACTGTTACCTATTTATCCACTTTGTCTGGTGCTCTTTCTGTAATCAAGTTGTGCACATGCTCATGGGAAGGAAAAAGGGAAATGACTATCCTTTGATTTTTATTTTTTATTTTTTTTTCCCCTTAGCTAAGCTATTGCATAATTTAGATTTGTTTATTTTCCACACTTGTCCTTCTGGACAAGATTTATTATCTTGTTCATTTTTACTTTAATTATTAAATGAGTTAGAGCAAATGCTGAGGAAGTTAAAGAAATTAAAACAATTTCTTTGTTTAGATTGTTTAAAACAATTTTGTTTACAACAAACAAAACAATGGCTCTGATGTTCAGCCTTGTATTTGGGAGTGTGGAAGTATTTATTTTTTTTTTATCTTTCTTTAGGAGTCCATTATTCTCACTATGCCTTTCTGCACAGTATTTGTCTCAACAGCCAGTTCCTTTAGCTCACAATATTGGTGTTTAAAACCTGTACATTTTACAGCATTGTAATGGTTATGCTTGTTCAGTAACTAGTATTATGCATCTAGGAGGACAATACTGTGCTTGTATTGCCAAAATGTTTTTTGGCCCTTCACTTAATAAAATATGAACCTGCAGCAGATATGACCCTGTCCTGGCTGTGATGCAATAATTTGTCTCTATTGATGTGGACCATAATATCAAGTAATTAGTTCTTAACCTTCTGTAGAATAATTCCACTCACTTAAGCTCTTCTAGTCATGAAGCAATCCTTCAAGAGCTGGGAGCTCTAGAAAAAGGGTGGATTTTTCTTTTTTTTCTGTTGGTTTGGGGTTTTTATGGAAATCTGCATGATAAAGGTGAGCTTGTAAGTTCGACAGTTACTCTAAAAGCCATTGTGGGAGTGTAGCCTGTAGTTTTCACAGACCCTTGCAGTGCTTGTGGCAAGGTTGGACAGTTTCCCTATGTTCTTTTTGCTCATTCCATGACTGATTAGATACTGGAGCAGCACATTTGTTGAATGGCTGCAGGTAGTTGTGCTGATTTTCAGCATAAAAATAAAGAAGTAATGCTAAGAAGAGAGTGACTTTTTTTCTTTTTCTTTTTTCCCCTCTTGCCTCATTCCCTCCCTGCCTCCCACCTTCTGTTCTCTTCCCTTTACATCCCTTAACAATTCCCATTGAAAGCAGTAAGTACAGAGTATCAGGTTAGCAGCTCTGAGACCCAAAATCAGCACTTTGGCTGTCAGCAACAGAGACACAGTGGGAGTTTTCAGAAGTACGATAATCCCACGTGCCAGGCCTCCGGTGTGCCAATTTGTGAAATGCTGTGCTGACTCTAAGGCAGCAGTGAGCACTGGAGTTGTGAGCATTGGACTTCTGCAGCTGGGAGAGAGATATTTGGGTTAGCAGCACTGGTGAGCACATAGGATATATGTGTGAAGAAAGCTGAAATTAAAATGAATGAAGGGCAGTAATCTTCTCCTCTCTCACTTCACCTTGCTTATTTGAAAGTTCTGAGGTGGTGGTTTATTTGTATTTCCTCAGCAATAGCAGTGTCGTTGCCCAGCGTGTTCGCTGGTTTTCATGCAAGATATTCAAAGGCTTGACAGCTAAGAAACATGAGAACCATATACTTTATAAAATATTTGAAGGATTTTCTCTCTGTGTTCTAGGCTCGTGGTGGAAGTGGAAATTTCAGCTGGTCCTATTCTAACCAGGCAGTTGCTACAGTGACAGTCAAAGGAGTAATGACAACTGGAAGTGATATTGGTGTCAGTGTTATTCAGGCAATTGATGTTCAGAATCCATTGCATTATGGAGAAATGAAGGTAAAACTCTTATTTTTCCCTGGTCACTCTTGAGTATGGCTTCTGAAAACAGTGAAGAAGGTGAGAATGCCATAGGCATTCCCCGTTCCAACATGTTCCCAAGAGGTTTCCCTGCTTGCCGTGTGGCAGGCTGAGTGATCAGGTTCAGAGTTTGTGCTTCTGAGGATTCAAGCTCCCTCCTCCGCTGCATTAACTTTTCTCCCATTTTTGCTTCTTCCTGATTTTGTTGTCAAGTCTTTTTCCTTGTTGAAAGTTTTGAGTGCAAGAAGGAAATAGTAATTTATTACTGGCCTAGCCATTGAAGCAGACAAGCCAAACTAAATACGCCTTCTGCAGGGTAAGAGGTGAGTGTTTTCCCTTGGTGTAAAAGGATGACAGATATCATCAAGATACGCAAGGAAATTCCTGCCTGGAGAAGTGGCTGAAGTGAATACAGTGCCACATAATGAATCTAGATACTGAAGCTGGCCAAGAAAACATAAAATTTTAGGAAAATTAGGAGAAAATAAGAATGAAAAATACACTTCCCAAGAGGGATTTTTGGGTCTCTGTGCAAATCATACCCTGTTTTTAGGATTTGATCAGGGTGATCAGTGTGGTGTATGGAGTGAAGAAAATACAGCAACAGTGTTTGCAAAGATAAGTGACAAAGCTGGTCTGCTTAACCCTGTAAATCTACAATCTTAAATATTTTTTCTCTAGAATGTTATTGAATTGGAAATACGTCCTTGTGTCCTTTGGACACAGATGATTTTCCTTAATGAAACTGTGTTTGTTTACTGTCTCTGTCAAGCTGTTAAGAACTGCCAGACCTGGAAGATGATAGAATAGAAACTAAAAGTACTTACTGTGGTGTATATTCACTGCTGTGAAGTAGTCCTACTCTGCTACCTTTGTATCTAAAAGTGTACTGAGCACATGTGACTAATCCGGGATCCAGAGGGTGTGTTTCTCTAACTGCATGGTTATAAATGCCATAGGTTTGTTTATGTCAAGCGGATGCTGTTGAGGCTGGCAAACAACCCCCATCTGGCTGAGGCTTTATAAAGGTGATGGGCTTGTTCCTGAGGGAGCATAGAAGTTGATTTAGGAAGCCTGTCTTTCAAGCCCTGGGGCAGTGCACCTTCCTTCCAGGATACATGCCTGTAATTTAGCAGCTGGTGGGGAACAAGCTGATTGCATCAAATATACATCCATTAGCTGTACAAAATACCTCCTGATTTTTAAGTATTCCCATGTGCAGCACTGCTGTAACTGTTGTACTGCACTTCTGTTCCTCCAAAGTCCCTTTTGGCAAAAGTGTTAAAAAATGTGTTTGGTCAAGACTGCCAAGTCTGTCTGATAATGAAGAGAGAGCTATGTAAGCGGGTATCTTTACTCTCTGACCAGTTTTTACTTGGAACAGCTGCATCTACTAATTCAGGGTTTTTTGAGGGGCAAATTAACTTGGGTTTTGTGCTCAGATTATTTATGTCAATTTTACAAAGTGGATTTAAAAGATACTAAACTTCATGTTGAAAATAATGACTTAAATGCTTAAAATAATGACACAAATTAAAATTTGTGCAGAATTTAATTTACAGACTTGCTCTGAAACTGTTCTATGGACAACCCAGGATGCTGCTTTTTAGCAATGTGACAGTTACCAGCCGGAGATACAGGAATGAAGATTTTTCAGTTAAAACTTCTTATCCTCAAACATAAGTCAAAGCCTGAAGACAGAAAAAATACTTCTCTCCATATGAGCTTTCAGAGCAGTGTATTGCACAATCTGAATAGGTTATTTTTGAATGCCTTTGTTCTTCTGTTAGGAATTGCATTCTTCATAGAATAACTCTGAAGAGTTCTATTTACTGACCTCAGTGAGCAAGTTTTAGGAATAGTTAACTATGTTCCCCAAGGATCACAGTTTTAACTCTTTACCATATGGTTCAGTATTCTCTCCTGAAGCCCTTTGCAGATGGTTAAGATATTGCAATCTTTGCAAGTTAAGATACTGCAAATTAAAAGCTTTTATCATAATGATTGTTACGAAATATGCAGTCAGTCTGTGGTGAATTCTTTAATATTAATGGAAAAAGTAGCAAATCAGAAAAATAATACAGTTAAGACTTGTTCATCAACATGGCAGCTGTAATAGCATGGATGATCTAGTTCTGCTGATCTTATTTTTGAGAGTAATTCTTTTGATTTCTTCCTTATGATCTGTCACATAAAGATTACTTGTTGAAGCAGAAGGTTGTTAGATTAGTAGATGTTTGTTCACTTATTTTAGATTTCTGACGTATTACTGTGGGGAAATGGTGAGCCCTGCACTACTTTAGAAATGTTTTGCCAACAGAAATGCAAGAAAGAAGAAAAGAAAAAAATAAAGGCATTGAGAAAATGTTTGGGCCATTAGTTCCCTTGATGTCTATGTACTTGCTGCTGTGAGCGATGGCAGCTGGGGAAGCCTTGCTAACTGTGTCAGGTCTAGCTCAAATATTTACACTGTGGAAGTCAAAGTTGGATACTAAATTTGTCCCAGTTGGTGAAAGTACCTCCAGGAGATACCATGCAACTTAGTCCACACTTTAAAATCAACAAAGCAGAAGAGAGATTTATAGAAGTGGCAGTAAACCGATCACCAAACTAAGGTGATCTTGGATTGTTATAGGAAAAGAGCACTGAAGTAGTAGCAAGCTTTTCCTGGCCCTTTCTGCAGCAGTAAATACAAAAGCAATGTTGAATCTTTGAAGAATTGTTTCCAGCCATCAGAGAGAAGTCAGTAGTGAGGAGAAGTATACGAGAGGGTTAATTAAAATAAGGAGAGCATGTTGAAGTCTGGTTTTCATTTTTTCTTTTCCCACCCCCCCTCCCCCC